CATTCTCTGTGACCCTCCTTGCCATGCACCACACCCCAAGTGCAAGATCTGTGGATTCTGGTTTTAGTTCCCTCATGTGAAGTCCTCAGACAGACCTGAGTGCAGGCTGCCCCTAGGCTTTTGAAAACTGTAGGCCTTCTTCAGGCCTCACTCGCATTAAATCCAATAGTAGATCTCTACTTAAGCCACCTCTAGAGTCTTTCTTAATCATGAATCATTAGCTGTTTCCCTCTTACATGCATTTCCCATGTTTTCACAGCATGTACTTCATACATATAATTGATGTATACAAGTATCAAGCCGACCGTAAGCAGGTTTGGGGATGAAGCCAGGTGACTCAGGCGTGAACAGAATGCCTCTGGTTCCTGCCTTTAGCTCACAGTTGAGAGACTGAATCTCCATGCCCCCCGGCCACCTGCCTTCCTTGTGCAAGGTGGAGTGAGATGGGGAAGAAGGTGAGGTTTATGTCCTAAAGCAGGATTGTGTGAAGCAACCGGAAATAATGATACTCATTTTTATTTCATGATGCAAATTAAGCCACCTTTGGAGAGGTTCAACTGGAGGTGGGAATGGTCGGATAAGAGTCAAGGCTGAGTGGTCCTTGTTGAAGGTTTGTTGTTGTTTTGTTTGGTTTTAAAAAACAGTCGTAAAGTATCCATAACATAAAATGTGCTGTTTTTTAAGCATCCAGTTCAGTGGTTTAAAGTGTTTTCATGGTGTGGAACAGTCTGTCACGTATCATTTCCAGAACCTTCTCATCTTCCCAGGCAGAAGTACTCTCTCTCCATATCCCATTGCAAGAACACTGGACCTTCTGTTTGTTCATTGACTATCTGTAGGCACTATTGTTTCCACCTCTGATTCTGCTGAGTAATGTTAGGGATGTTGATACACGACTCTGTTTGAGTCCTTGCCTTTGGTTGTCTTGGTTTGGGATAAATTTTATACTGATAACAGGGAAGATATTACAGGTAACTGAAGAGACTTTAAGCAGAGGGCATGCTGTGGCACATCTCTTACACTGGTGCACCATCTTTCTGTTGACTGTTAAAGTGCTGCGTCTGTTGAGGGACCATAGTGCTTTTTATGAGCAAGGGCCAGCACTCAGCAAGGACTTGGGATAAGCACTTACTATGACCCAGTCTGGCCCTCTTTCATTCTAAGAGTTGGTCCTTAGAGTGGTAAGTTTGGTCAGATGTCATTTTCTTTTGGTTCGTTAATTAACATATGTTCAGGGACTAGAAAACAGCTCTTACTATGAGCCATTGCTACACATAATTAAGTACATTTACTAATGCAACAATTCTGGTGTAGACAGTTCAACTGATGTCTGCTGAGAATTTGTTGAGTATACCAGATATACATGTTAAAATGTGTGTTGCAGAGTTTTACAGCTTAGTTGGTCTCTATTTGTGTGTATATGTGTATGCATTACTGTGTGTGTGTAAGCAGTTATGTTCAGCTCATTTTCATGGAGACCAGACTTTGAGACTTATGTGGGTTCTGGTGATCCAAATTCAATCCTCATGCTTGTAGAGCAAGCACTCTTACCCAGTGAGCCCTGGAATGCCTTTTTTGAGAGATGTTCCTTTAATGTGAGTCTCTGCTCTTTTTTATTTTTTAAAACAAAAACAAAGCAGAATAACACGAATCTCTATTTTGAATTTATTTTCGATGAGACTGTAATAACAACATCGAAGATAGTTTGAAAATAAGAGGAAAAACATCACCCTCAGTTCCACCCTAATAAAACTCTATTTTTATTTTACAGTGTGTGTGAGGATTGAACTTACAAATCATTTATTTTGAAAACAAAGCTCTGAATACTTCTAGTGGCAATTATTTTTTAAATTATGTCACAAAACAATGTAAAGTACAAACTAAAGTTTTGGATCAAATTTGCTATGTTACCAACATATTCACTTGAAATGGTTTTTTTAACAAAGGGTTAAATAATTGAAAAAAAGGAGTATCTCTATTTGTTGCTGCCTCCATTTAAAACTAATTATTTATTTTTGATTTGTTGTGTTTGTGTGTGTGTGAGAGAGAGAGCGAGAGAGTGAGAGTCTCCCTGTAGCCATAGCTGGCCTAGAACTCTCTGTGTAGACCAGGCTGGCTTCAGTCTCACAGAGATCTGCCTGTCTCTGTCTCCTGAGTGCTGGGATTAAAGGCATGTACTACCACATCTGGTCCTCTATTTTTATTTTTCAGTGTTTCATATGACTCAAAATAATCCCCACTGCTCCATGTTCTTACTCTGCACTTTTGAGATGTGGAGCCTGGTAGCCAAGGTAGGCTGTGTCACCTACAGCGCCTCTTCTTGGTGCTCGTGCTCAGTGATATTTGTTAGTTGTGTTTGGCATCATTGTTATCCTCGGCAGGGATGGAGTCTTGCTCCCTGGTGTCTCTTTGCTTGACATAATGGGGCCAGAGTTGTGCTCACAAGTGAGATGTCTGTCTGGACATAAGCAGGAATTGAGACATTCATACACCTTCAGGGGACAGTTGGATTCTTTCTATTGCGTCTTCACTGTGACCTGTCCTCGGCCTCTCTTTTCTGTTTGGATGTGTGAGTAGCTCTCATGGGTTCCTTCCCTTGTCTGCTTGTAGGTTTACTTTTTTAGCTGTCTCCACCGAAAGGAGTGCTCTGCACTTGAAGCCACTGGCCCTGGAGCAGATGAGTTCCCACTCCCCTACCCCCTCTGTGACTCACCATGTATGGTGTCTGCCTTCAACCCTACCTTCTCTCTGGCACTTTCTGATGTGTGGTCTTGCCCTGCCTCCCCCTTGCTTTAGTTTCTTCTTCCTTTCTTGATGATTTTTTTCTTTAAAAAAAAAAAAAAATCTCTCCGTGACTCTTTCCTACCCGCTCTTGGCTGATGGAACCATTGAAAAATGGATTGGTTTGTATGAACCATCTGAATGAACTGTCTGAAGTCACTCCTGTCCCATAACCATCTGATTTTCATGGTGCCAGCGGGCAACCTCAGAGCCACTCCCTCACAGGTAGCAGGTATGGGCAGGTCTCTGCTCTCCTGTCTTCATCCCTTTCTGGCTGTTTCTCCCACTCCTTCGCCATCCCGAGCTTGTGAATGTCCTGTGCAGCTTCGCTTCCTTCTGCCCATGTTCTTTATTTCTGCCTCTACCCTTCCTCATCCTTTGTTCCTCAGGACCCCCAGGTCAATCCATCTTCAGCGTGGGATGTATGTGGAAGGGGCTGCACAAGAACCACAGCCCCTTCTACCCTGCAGAAGTAATGGAGAACCCCTCATAAATGATACTGCCCCAGCCTACCCTACCCAGACGGCTTTCCTCCTGCCCCTCCCTGTCATCTATGTGTCAGTCTTCTATTTCATTATAACTTGTCACATTAATATGCTCTCGACTTTTTACAATAGATTCGCATCACTTTGGCCTGTGAAACAGCATTTTTGCTCTTTTCCTTAGGTTAATGTTTCTGGCATGTCACTTTGGTTGTTGTGTTTCACTGCAGAACCTAACGAGTCTCCATCTTGCATCCGGAGTACTTAACACCCAGGTGCAGGGACTCCTGGTGAACTGTTCCCATGATCCTCAGTCTTACCTCTCATAGTCTTCACAGTGAGCCCTGTTTTTCAGCCTGGCTAGTTTCTTTATAGTTCAAAAGGTCTCCCACATCAGCTTCACTGACAGCCCTTCCCCACACCGACCTCTCCTCCACGTTTTCTGTTATGGTCAAGGTCCAGTCCACCTCTTTTTCTGAAGCATTCATTTATTTTGGTACTTGAGCAGAGTTCTTTTTAAAATTTTCATTTATTATTATTGTATTGAGTATGTGCTTCTGGGTGTACTCAAAGGTCAGGACAACTTTTGGGAGTTGGTTCTCTCCATCCACTGTGAATTCTGGGGATCAACCTCAGGTGGTCAAGTTTGTGTAAAATTGCTTTAATCATGGCTCCTGGAGCAGAGTTCTTTAAACTCTGAAGTGTACTTGAAGACCATGTGTCACACCGACCTTGACTTCCCCCAGGAAATCTGGAAATTAGGTTTATCAGGTTGAAATTCAACATAGAGTATAAACTATCTCATGATCTAATCCCAAAAAATGAGATTAGCATTTTTCGCCTTGCCATTTGGAGATATGTAAATATTTTCATGAACATTACCATGTAAGGAGTGTTATGTAGAAATAACTTAATTCCAAAGTTTGAGCAAAAGCAAAGGGATGTCCTGGTCATGTACATTTTTTTAAATCTAATTAAAAATAATTTTGTCTTTGAATTCCAGCTTGCCTGGAACTCACTATGTAGATCAGGCTGGCCTTGATTTCATAGATATCCATCTGCCTGCCTTTGCCTTTTGAGTGCTGGGATTCCAGGTGTGTGCCACCACACCCAGCTTTAATATATTTTTTCCCACAATTCATATACACACATACATAATGTATTTTGTTCATCCTCCCATCACTCCCGACAACTTCTTCCCAAACAGTCCTCTTCCAATCAGTGTGTCTGTGTGTCTGTCTGTGTCTGAACCACTGAGCTTACTTAGGGTTGCTTTTATGAGTGTTGTTGGGGATTATTTACTTGAGCTGAGGAGGGTACCTTACCACTGTCTACACTGTCATGCCAAAAGAGTGGCTGTCTGATCACTTTTGCTTCTGGTTTCCATGGTGTGAGATTTGCAGCTGTGGCTTCTAAGCCAAATAGCATAGTATCACTGTGAGGAGAGACCATCATCAGTAGAAACTTGACTCCTTTGTATGTTTAACCTACAGAAGGCCATGGCATCCAAGCTTGGCCTGGCTTGGACACCAAGTGTGACCCATAGGACTAATTGAAGGTTGCAGAAAATAACTTTATAGATGAACTTAGACTTCAGACAGAATTCCCTTTCCAGCCATAAATAGCAGGGCTATTTTTGCTGTAGGCGTACACAGAAGATTGAAGGCAGTATTAGCAGAAATGCTTTATTTCGCCAAGGCAGCTCACACTCAACACAGCCCTTGTTTTTCTTGGCAGGCTCTTCGCAGCCATCTGTGAGTCCAGGAGAGCCGTCTCCACCATCCATCCAGCCAGCACAGTCGGAGTTAATAGTCGGCACAGGCGACACAATCAGGCTGATATGTGAGGATCCTGCCTTCGATAAGTGGACTTTCGAGACCCTGGGTCATGTGAGTGAGAGCAGTAAGCACAATGAATGGATTCGAGGAAAGGCTGAAGCTGCTCACACAGGCAAATACACATGCACCAACAGCGGCGGCCTCCAAAGTTCCATTTACGTCTTTGTTAGAGGTAAGCTTAGCTTGGCTCTCTGGTGCTAGGTGGTGATCAGTCTCCTCTTCTTAATTTCAGATGACATGTAGGTGACTGAGCCCCAGGCAGGTTCTAGGAGACCTAACTTAAATGTTTCTTTGTTGGATTCCCGCATCTTTTGATTCATGGTGGCTTTGAGTGTGACCCCAGCTGGAGGTCTGCAAGACTGTGATAGTCTCCCTAACTGGATTACTGCATGTTTAGCCCATTTGTCCTGGTGCTTGGAGTCGACCCCGAGAGGCCCCTTGGGAAAACTGCATTTTAATGCCTTGAGATACTAAAGATTCCCACTTAGTAAAAATACTTCAGGGAACCAAAGGCCTCTAAAGGCCTAAGCAAACCAGAACTTCAAAAAATTAGGCCCATTCTTAAGGAAGTAAATTCCAGAAAAACAACTCAGACAGCTAAACATCCCTCATCAGGCATAGGTTCTTGGGACATTGATGCTTTTAACAGTTATAACCTCTTAGAAACAAAAGACAAGGAGATATGACAGTTGGATTTCTGTATCTTATTTCCTAGATGAATTCATCATTGGGTCTGTTTGTGTTTTTACTATCTTGTCAAGGGCCAGGCAGGGCTGTATCCTTAGGTTGATGTTAAAACAAAGCTAATGATAATTTAAGAGACATATTACAGAAAGGGACATGAATGTCCTGGTTCTAGCCCAGGCTATATTCGGACTGGGCCTATCGTTTATAAAATACTTAGGGTTTGGGGAGTGACTCGTGGATGTATTTCTCATGCATGGGAAGTGTGCTGCCCAGAGCCTCTGACTGTGGGGTGATAGGATGACCAGCTCTGTCTTCCTCAGGGAACTGTTAGAGAGGCACAATCATACAAATCCTAGCATACTCAATCAGGGGTTAATAAAGTTGACTCTGAAGAGTGCCATGAAATTGACCATGCCTCTGCCTGGTTTATCAGTTGTCTTTTCCGAAGTGGGCAGCCGAGGAGACATGCTCACTGATAAGCCACAGCTTAGCTTCGGTGTTCAGCTCCTTAATTGTTGAGCCAGCCCCTGGGCTATTGGTGACATTTGGGAAGGTGTTCTGGAATTTCCAGGTGGTAATGAAGTATCATTCTGCTCATTAATAGGGTGAGTAGACACCTGCATACCTCAGGAAGCCGATGACTTAGCAGAACACTCAGAACTTACACACTTTCCTCATGAGGACAGCCATCTTCCAGAACTCAGAGCCATCCTTAACTCTGGCTGATTTAAGATGTTTGGGCCCTTAACCAAACCCTTGTTACTGTGAAGAGCAAAGCGCCTCACTGGGGGTGCTATACTCTGGCATCTGAGAAAACTTAGGAGGGAAAATAACCAGCCGTGGCTTACGGTCATAACTTGATCATAACGTTGTAAAATGTTTTTCAAAACTAAATAATAAAACAAATGTATTTCTGTGACAACAGAAAGGACAGTTTGAAAACAGAATTTCAGGGGCCTAGGGAGATAGCTTAGTGAGTAAAATGCTCGCTGTACAAGCATGGGTCCTGAGTTAGAGTCTCAGTACCCATGTAAAAAGCCAGTGTGTTGTGTGCACCTGTAATCCCAGCACTGAGGAGGCAGAGATAGGAAAATCCCTGGAGTTCCTGGCCAGCCCGCCTAGCCTATTCAGTGAGCCCCAGGTCCCAGTAAGAGAGCTGTCTCACAAAACAAGATGGCTCCCCAGGAAAAACACTAAAGGTTAACCTCTGGCCTCCACATGTACACACATGTGTACATGTGCACCCATACCCTCCCCCACCAAAATAGAATCTGAGTGTCATCTGTTCGGCCCCCTTCTTGTCTGTGTTATTATGTACAGAGCACCAGTCTATTGCGTCTGCAAGATGGACCATCTTGTCTTTACTTATGTGAAGTCCTCATTAGCCAGAGCCATTCCCTTTCTGTGCTTGATGTCCTGACACAGTGATTCCTCTTGTCCCCTTCCCCTCACAGATATCCTGGTTCACATAGTAAGATTGGCCATGGCCGTCCCAACACTCAGCATCTTTATGCATTTGTGATTATATGCTTTCTGGAAGTTCTATGTACATATCTTTGAGGGGAATATGGATAGAATGAGACCCGCATGCTGTTTGGAGTGGATTGCTGAGGGTTTTCTATATTCTCCAGAAGCTGAACAGTATGGGGTCTGGCAGATCTAGAGAGGCCCTCACAAAGGTGTGAGGAAGGATATCATCCTCTGTCCCACCACACCAGCTTATTTTTGGCTGATAGGCTTTGGGGTAATTATAGATAGCAGACAAAGAAACTGTTGTCATCAGATAGTGTCAGGGTTGTAAGAGTTCAAATTTTGGTATCAGTCAGACCTGGGTTGGTGTCCTGACAGCAGTTTCCAGACATGTCCCTTGAGGGGAGTTGCTGTTTGCTCAGGGCCTAGTTCCTTCATCTGCAAAGTGGTAATAATGGTTACACATTGAACCACCCCAAATCCAGATATCCAAAATCTAGAATGATCCAGAAGCCTGAAGCTTTGTGAGTGCCAGAGCAACAACGGGTTTTTGATTTGGGATGCTCAGCTGGCAAAGGCTGTGCATGTATTCCAAACTCCAGAGAACTATGAAGTCTGAAGCACTTGTGGTGCAAGTATTTTACTTAGATAAGGGCTACCCAGCGTGTACTGATCACTCAGAAATAATTTGAAGATTAAATAAAAGCATGTAATGTGCCTGACATACAAAAATGTTTAGTAAATGCTAACTCTCATTTGTTAGTGTTATTTGAATAAATTTTGCTTTTGCTTGCCCAGAAAAGTCATTCGAGCCACCAAGGATTGTTGTCACAAAAAGCTGGAGAGATAGCTCAGCAGTTAAGAGCACTGACTGCTCTTGCAGAGGACCCGAGTTCAATTTGCAGCACCCACATAGCGGCTACAAACCGTCCTCAACTCCAGTTCCAGGGGAATCCAAAACCCTCTTCTGACCTCCGCCTCATTGCACGACACGGGTGCACATAACTTACATGGAGGCAATACACTCATACACATAAAATAAAAACAATAAACTTTTTCTTAATTTAAAAAAAAAAGCCAGGCGTGGTGGCGCATGCCTTTAGTCCCAGCACTCGGGAGGCAGAGGCGGAGTTCAAGGCTAGCCTGGTCTACATAGTGAGTTCCAGGACAGCTGGGGCTTCAGGGAGACCCTGTCTCAAAAAGACCCCTCCCCCCCCAAAAAATTAAAAAAACATGTTTTCTGTGCCATGACCACCATTCATCCTGATTTCTGATCTGCTTCCTAGATCCGGCTGTGCTTTTTCTTGTCGGCCTTCCCCTGTACGGGAAAGAAGACAACGACACGCTGGTCCGCTGTCCTCTGACGGACCCAGAGGTTGACAACTATTCCCTCAAGGAATGTGATGGGAAATCTCTCCCTGAGGACCTGATGTTTGTCCCAGATCCCAAGGCTGGCATCACAATCAGAAACGTGAAGCGCGCCTACCACCGACTCTGTGTCCGATGTGCTGCCCAGCGGGACAAGGAGTGGGTACTGTCTGACAGATTCGTCCTGAAAGTGAGGGCAGGTACGGCCCCTTGTGTCTGGCGGGCTGTGGAGACCGTGTTCATGGGGTCAGCTTCTCTTCTCACTGCCCACCTTAGCTTGGACCATCACCAGCGTCTTAGTAATGTCAGCATTTGTGAATTCCTCCAGAATGACAGGTCTGTGACTGTTGCCTGCTAAGGTGAGGTGTCTACTCCCATAGATTGGAGTAGTCATTAAACATGCTGGTTTAGGGCACCCCAAAGTGGCATTTTTGCCACCCAGTGGGAAGCTTTAATTACACCATGTAAGTCTATGAGACTACAAGGAAGTCATTCTTTAATTTGCTGTGGACATGCAAATTGGCTTTCTTTTGCTTCAACTGATTGATTCTAATGTATTCTCAAGCCATTTAACATCCGGAAAGGAAAGTGTCAACCACCTGTATGATTTGTTATTAATGTGGCATTTCTGTGGACTCTTTCAGTAGCTGAAAAATAATCTAGGCTTTATATGTGAGGTTATCTAATTCAACATCACTTGGTGTTCAAATAGTAACAGTTTTTACTCAGGCTTTTGATAAAATGTGCTCATTGAAATGAAGGAAAATTCAGTTACTTAAAACCTGGGGTTTTCAGAAGCCAACAAGGAGTTACTTGTACAGTGTATGAGGAAGATGCCTATCTGGCCCAGGGAATATTGCTGGTTGTAGGTCAGAGCCTTGTGAAACCATCAAGGGTGTCCTAGGTAAAGCTCTTCCACCTGTTTTGAAAACGTCTCTCAGAAGCATTTATGATCCTAGCAGACATTTCCTGTCCTTTTCACTCATTGTTAATGAATTTACTTGAAGGATGCATGATTTAATTACTGGTGTCCTCAGATATGCAAACAGTACTGATAGGTTAGTATTGTACTTTGCATTTTATTAAAAGAGACAATGCAAGCTCTGCACAGTCAAGAAAGGCAAGCTCGGAGTTGTTGGAGAGCTGGCTCAGAGTTAAGAACAAATGCTGCTCTTCCAGGGGATCCAAATTCAATTCCCAGCAGTCACACCGAGCAGGTCACAGCTACCTGTAACTCCAGCTCCCAGGGATCTGACAACCTCTTCTGGCCTCTGCAGGCACTTTAGAGGCATACAGTCACATAGATACACATATAGAAAAGTAAAAATAAATCTTTTTTGAAAGGCAAGGTAAAATTCATGCTGTAATAGAGTGAATAACTTCAGGATCATATTTCTTTTAATTCTAGCCATCAAAGCTATCCCACTTGTCTCTGTGTCCAAAACAAGCTATCTTCTTAGGGAAGGAGACAAATTTATGGTAACGTGTACAATAAAAGATGTGTCTACTTCTGTGGGCTCGATGTGGATAAAGGAAAGTGCTCAGGTGAGTGAGTTGTTTCGTTCATTACCTGTATATTCTCTCTGTGTGGGAGGCTTTATGGATTTTCTTTAAGAGATTCCTGGGGATGACTCCGCTGCCAGCTCTGGCCTGTTGGAATTGGCTGGGAGTGTGTTCACATGCATATTTGCCTGTGTGTATTGTCACATACAAATAGCTGCCATGCTGTCTGTATATTTTGAGAAAGGAGACCACCAGCCTTTTGTTATTACTTACACTATATCTTTGAGAAATTAAAAAAAAAAATGGGTAACTGCATAACCTTCACTTAAAGCTATGATATTGCTTAGACCAGATTACTTAAAACAATGATGGAAAAGGGTAAACAAGCTGAATGTGGTGGCACACACCTTTAATCTCTATACTTGGGAAGCCAACACAGGTGGATCTCTATGACTTCAAGGCCAGCCTGGTTTACATAGTGAGGTTGGGGCTAGCCAGAGCTGCATAGTGAGACCCTGTCTCAAAAAGGAAAAAAAAAAAGTTGTCAGTTCTCCTTTTCATATTTGTGCAGAGTAATTGTACCAGGTATGGGCCAGAAAGCTCTTCTCTCCCCCCAGAAAGGCCAGGTCATTTGAGAGATTGGGTTCTTTTTGTGCAGATCTGATTCCCTCCTTAAGGGCAGGTTACCTGAGATTAGGTTGCTAATGGTTTTCTGTTTGCTCTGGTTGCTATTAATAAAATCTGAAACATTGGACGTGTTTAGGTTCTCATTCCATTGACAAATGTGTATTGAATGCTTACTATATGTCAGATACTGTGTTAGGCATCTCTTAAATAAATTTTAGCCAGGTCTTTGTGTTTGTCTTCTTTCTATGCTAAGGCTTGAGCCAAGGGCATTATGCATGCTAGGCAAGCAAGGGCCCTCACTGAGCTAGCTATACCCTCCAGCCAATTTAACCATTTTTATTTGGAATGTTTTTTTTCTTTTTCTGTTTTTAAAAAGAGTTATTTTTAATTGTGTCTCTGTGTGTGTGTGTGTGTGTGTGAGAGAGAGAGAGAGAGAGAGAGAGAGAGAGAGAGAGAGAGTGTGTTATGGGTATGTGCACATGAGTGCATGAGTGCAGGTGCCTGCAGAGACTGAGGTACCAGATTCTCCTGGAGCTAGAGTTACAGGTAGTTGTGAGTCCCAGGAAGTGGTCCTGGGAACCCAACTCAGGTCCTCTGCAAGAGCAGGGTATGTGCTATTAATGAGACTGACCGACCTCGTCCCTCTCTCCCCCCTCCCTCTCTCTCCCCCTCCCTTCCCCTCCCCCCTTCTCCTCCCCTCCTCTCCCCTCTCCTCCCTGTTTCTTAAATACTCAATAACAAGTTTTTTTTTTTTTTGGTCTTTTTGAGACAGGGTCTCTCTGTAGCCCGAGCTGTCCTGGAATTCACTATGTAGACCAGGCTGGTCTTGAACTCACAGAGATCCGCCTGCCTCTGCGTCCCAAGTGCTGGGACTACAGGCGTGCGCCACCACGCCCGGCAATAACAAGGTTTTAAAAGTCTTACTTTGGCTAATATTTCACATGAAAATTCCAAGTTTTTGTTCATTTTTAGGTAATCTTGGTGATGTGGTTAACTAGCCATCAGTAGTTCCTCTAAATTACACGTGTGTATTCATTACATTGAGAAAAAATACACTTTATTCCTCCTCTTTCCTCTTGGCCTATATTCAACATTGCCAATTTCGTGCCCATTTGAAGAATTCTTTGCTAAACTCATAACCATGATGATCAGCATAATGTAGCCTCACTGACGATATTTGCTCAGACCTTGACCGATGATGCTTTGCTTTGTTTATGAACTCTGCCACTAGGCTGGAGAATGGGATTGCTGTAGACTCACAGCAGTGGTTCAGAGAAACAAGTGTTAGTTTTCAGACCATCTAATGAAATAAAAGTAATAGCATCTTATGGACTTTTGGCTAACCTTACAGAACACAATCTCATATTAATTGGCTTTCTATAATCCTTGATTTCAGAAGAAAGAACAGTTTAGACTCTGTGTGTGTGTGTGTGTGTGTGTGTGTGTGCGTGCGTGCGTGTGCGCCTGTGTCTAGCTTGAAAATTAGCCTTTTTGAGATGAGAAATTAGATTGCCCCAGGTGGTTTTGTTCTGAACCACGTTTCCCAGGAGTCCTGCATGCCATACCCAATTAATCCACTGGCACTGGTAGATAAGTCTTTAGTGTTGGGAGCTCTTTGGGGAAATCCCAGTATGTGCCTCCAAGGGTTAAAGAAAAGCAGATCATGTGCAGACAGCATGTGATGTGTGACATGCAGATGGGCCTCTTGGCTCTTGGCCAGGGTTCACCCAGGAATCGTTTATTGATCCTTTGGCATAATTTGGAATGCTGTTAGCACTATCAAATAATTTTAAAAAATCTATAATATTTGATCCCAACCATTTGGAGTTTCATTCATGATGAAATCTAAAGAGTTGTTGAAATTATTTGTTAAGCACAAAAGAATCTTGTTTTTCTTGGTTAGTTTTTCTAATGCTGCCAAACTCTGATGATTTGGGGTTTTTTTGGGGGGGGGTGTTTTAAAAAAACGTGTGTGTGTGTATTGCCTGCATGTATATAAGTGTATCTGTGTCGTGCAATGCCTGTGGAAGTCAGAAGAGAGCATCAGATCCCCTGGAACTGGAGTTACAGACAGTTGTTAGCCACCATATGGGTGCTGGGATTTGAACCCATGTCCTCTGCAAGAGCAGCCAGTGCTCTTAACTGCTAAACTACCTCTCCGGTCTCTTTTGTTTGCTTCTAGTTCTGAGTTTGGGCAATATTCTAAATTTTGGTCTTTGAGTGTCCATGTTGCTAAAACATCATTTTTGACTGAGCTGTTTTGTCCAGCACTGCCCTGTGCAGTGCTTGTGCTTAGAACCCTTTTGTGGACACCGACTCTTGAAAGAAGTGAAGGGAAGATACTTTAATCTAGAACTTAAGTGTTCATCTGCCCACTGTGGCTATGCTTTTGGAGAGAGGCCTGAGGAAAAATGGGCCGGGAAAGGCTAGTATAAAAATGCCACTTCCTTTTGCTGTTGTATCGCCCTAACTAGTGAGCCTCTGCAGTGAAATGGCAGATTGCTGCCATTATTAGAAGAAACTGCCCAGAAGGGGTGGCTTCCAGTCTGCAGTGTTCCACATTGGAAATATCTTTAAAACTGTGTTTCCTCACACTCTTTAGAAACAAAGACCAAGGCCAGGTATATTGAGGTCACAGCCAGCTAATAGCAAAACAGATGTCTCTTCCTTTATTGAACCTTGGGCCATCAACTTTTATGTGTGCTTATTTTAATGTAATGTGATTCCAGACACTGGGGGCTAGGTGTTAGCTCTGTAGTAGAGCACTTACTTAGCATGTGCAAGGTCTTTGGTTCGATTCCCAGTGCTGAAAAACTTCTTAAAATAAAAATCCACTAGAAAAAAAGGTACTGTCCTGTGTTTGCAGATAGCAGTGCTATATATAATAGAAATGTAATGTGAGCTTTGTGAGTAATTGAAAATTTTCCAGTAGGCATATTGCAAAAAATAAAATAAAATTGATGTAAAACATCATTTCAGTCCTATAACTAACATAAAATTTATTAATAATGTATTTTGTATCTTTTCATTCTAAGTAATCAAACTCTGGGCATATTTTTCATAGATTTTGAGTTAACTACTATATTTCAAGTGCTCTGTGGTCACAAGTGGTTAGTCCTTGTAAATACCAGGTAACCTGCATATTTTCATATTTCTCTGCCCCCCCATGCATATGTGTTATCACATGGTTGCAGTTTTAAAATATGCTCAGTTTATGCTTGTTTGATCTTTGTGATAGGTTCTCACCATTGTAGCCCAGGTTGACCTTGAACTTGTAGCAGTTCTGCCTCAGCCTCCTAAATGCTGGATGACAGATAATGAGTCACCATGTCCCACTTCAATTTATGCTTTTTAAATAATGATAGTATTTCTCTTACTTCCTACACAGTTGAAGTCTGTTGCAGTGTACCTGGATGTGTAGTCACGTGGTTATTTTCACTGCTGTCAGCACTGTGGAGCTTTTGTTTTCTATTGTGTCCCTTAGATACATTTGCTGGAGTTATTTAGAGGGTCTGAATGTCTTGTCGGCCTGCTTTCCAGGACCATTCTCATCGACAACACTGGCTAATGGTCAAACAGTATGAAGGCAACTAGCTGGCCAGAGACTCACCCTTGGCCTTAGTCTGTGTCAGTATAAGGGCCTGTTTACTTTTGTTGTTTTCTCCTGTTGTGATAGGAATATATGCACACTGCATGTATTTGGAAGCTGCAGCACACAGATTTTGACTAAACTTTTCAACAGAGCTACCTTTATTTCCATTAAAGCCTTCCCCATGATATTTTATATTTGAGCACTCTCTCCATGTCTGGTCACAGACAAATCATAAGTGATACCATGAGGTCAGATTGACAGTCCCTACTGCCTTCCAACCCCATTCAAATGCTATGGGACAAGCCTCAAATTCCAACAGCAATTGTGAAGTTCTGCTGGGTAACAACAGTTGGGATGAGCCTCCAAGTTGGTTATACATTTTCTGATTCTCATTTCTGAAGAAAATTAATAAAGTAGGTTATTATTAGCAATGTGTTTGCTTTCAGTTGTTAGATATAGGCTTGAAAAAGTTAACAAGAGGCCTGACGATGTATGTAGATCAGTTGGTAGAGTGCTGACCTAGTGTGCAGGAAGCTCTGGGTTCAATGTGGAGCTTGGTGACACATGTCTGTAATCCCAGCACTCAGGTGGAGGCCAGAGGATTAGAAGTTCAAGGTCATCCTTGGCTGACCTCTAACTTAGGGAGTTAGAAGCCAGCCTGGTCTATATGAGACTCTGTCTCAAAAGAAAGAAAAAAAAGTGACAGAAAATATTAATGTGACATAAGTATGCTGACTCATTATGAAATATCAGTATTCTGTAATATTTCTTCCATGGTAACTATTAAGATCTAATACTGCAGAGAACTCGGAATGAATTTGCCTGTTTTTTTCCAATCATTCATAATGACTATCTTTCAATATAATCCTGTGATATGAAGAGTTCCAGTGACAGGCTTGTCACCGTGCCTTATTATTCCTCCTCAGTAGTGTATAATGAATGCTAATATGGAGAAGTTAATTGCTGCTATTTTTAATTTAGGAAAGATCCTGAATATAAATTATATGGTAATCTTTGATTTTTTTTTTCCCCTCCCCTTCTGAAACCAGCAGATTAAAGCTCAGGTAAAACGTAATAGCTGGCATCGGGGTGACTTCGATTATGAACGCCAGGAAACCTTGACTATCAGCTCAGCAAGAGTTAATGATTCTGGAGTGTTCATGTGTTATGCCAATAATACTTTTGGATCAGCAAATGTCACAACAACCTTGAAAGTAGTAGGTAAATATCTCTATGGGATTGTATAAATTACTGGCAACAGTGAAAGGAGAAATTACTAGATAGTTTCCTTTTTATGTAAATGGAATTCTAAGAACCGATTCTTAGAATTTATTATCACCGAATGAATGAATGAATGAATATTATCCCTGGAGCTTCCTGCAAGTGGGACACAGAAACAGATCTTACCAATTTACCCAAAGGACAGTGAAGAGCTGCCATTGAAGTCAAATCTGTCACTTTGTGTTCCCACCTTCTTCTCTCTCTCAAACAAAGCATACACTGAGCTGTTCCTCACATGGGAGTCCTTGCCAAGTGACTCCTTTGGAAATGACTATAGACTTTGTTCTTCTTGAGGCAGCAAGCATGCTTGGAGCCTGTAGTATCTCTCTCAATTTTGTGGTAGGGTTCCTCTGTCTGTTTCATTATTTTGTCACTTGTTGCCTTAGTTCCTTTGTGGTCTGGGCTGAATTGGCCTCTCCAGCCTCGCTGCTCCCTTCCACCTCTCCTTGGTTCTGTCACCTTACATTATAGGCTAAGCCTTCAGCAGGCCTGCCTTCAGGAGGCTAGTGGGGCACTGGTTCTAGAGAGCAGTTAGAACTTGGTCATCACCCCCTAAACTCACCATATTTAATATGCACAGTAGATTAAGCTTTGTCTTCCCTACTCTAGAAATCCCACAAGGGTTTATTTACCAAGAATCTACTTAAAGAGAAGTAGTGTGCAGGGGGTTAATTATTATTTTTGATTTATTGGGAACAGAAATAATCTCAAAATTATTTCATTCATAGTTTTGTTTTGGTTGTCCTAGCATTGTTTGAATTTCATCTGTTTTTCTGATTTGTTAAGTTTTTTTGTTTTGGGTTTGTATTTGAGATAGGGTTTTACTATGTAGCCCTGGCTGGCCTAGAATTCACTACGTAGACCACACTAGCCTCAAACTCACATAGATCACCTGCTTCTACTGGGATTAGAAGTATGTGCCATCATGCCCCCTCCAAATTAAAAAAAAAAAAAATTGTACCTTTATTGAGGTATAATTAATATATAAAACTATATTTTCATGCTTCTTCAATGCATCCATTCTCCTGGCTTTTATTAAATATGTGCAGTATGATAAAATTCATCCTTGTGAGCAATAATAAACTGATGCCATATTTGTTTGCATCTCTCTCCTTGAATAATTTATGTAGTAGAGCTCAGTAATTTAACCCACAGTAGTGTCATAAAATTTTGGTGTTTCTGCCCAGGTTCTAATGGAAAGTCTCTAAGCAGACCAAACCCCGAGAAGACACTTCACTACAGAGTCGACACAGGCAAAGTGTACTACTCTGTCCCTAAATGTGATCGTGAACCATTTATTAATTTGAATAGAAGGCTATGCTTTTAAAATATTAAGTGCCATAAGCACTAATTTGCTAAGTTGATCAGGGAGCATGTTGATATCATCTTTAGCTCCAGAAAGCAATTAGTAAGGATGTTTGAGCACATTGTTGTATGTAATCGGATTTTTAAAATCCATTCATCAGTTTCCAAGAATTATAAATGTGTGACTGGAAAGCCTCGTGACTGTAAAATCCGAATCTGGTTTTGTCTTGTTAGGAGTGGGCTGTGGTGGGACTCAGAACAGGGAGAGACAAAGACAAAAGTAATTTTTAAGAGGCTGGGAGTAGGGTTTGGGTTAGCCTGGACTGGGGGAGGGAAGGAAGATTGTGGAATCATTCTTTTTTAAAAGATTGTTTTAAAAATTGTGTATGGTGTTCTGGGTGTGGTAGCACATTCCTTTAATCCTGGCACTGGGGAGGCAGAGGTATGTGGATCTCTGTGAGATCGAGGCCAGCCTGGTCTACATAGCAAGTTCCAGGCCACCTGGGGCTACCGGAGACCCCATCTCAAAAAAAAAAAAATTGTGTACAATATGTTACAGGGGTCTGTATAAATCATTAAAAGGGGGACCAGAGAGATAGCTCAGTGGTTAAACACATACATTGCTCTTGCAGAGGACCCACATTTGGTTCTCAGCACCTTTGTTGGGTGGCTCACAACCACCTGTACTCCAGCCTCATTGGATCTTCTGGCCTCCACAGACACCTGCACGCGCGCGCGCGCACACACACACACACACACACACACACACACCCTGCTGCAACCCCCTTCCCCCCTTAATTTGAAAATAAATACATCTTTAGGGACTAGAGAGATGGCTCAGCAATTAAGAGCACTTAATGCTGTGCAGGGGACCCAGGTTTGGTTCCCAGCACCCACGTGGCAGTTAACAATCATCTATAACTCCAGTTCCAGGGGATCTGATGCCCTCTTCTTGCCTCAGCAGGCATTTATACATGTGATGCTCTTGCATGCATCCAGACAAGACACTCATACACATACAATAAAAATTCAAAGATAATAAGCAAACTCTGACCTGGTTTTGAGCTGGGGTTCCTGCTGCTTAGCTTTCTCATGCACCCTAGTTTGATTCTGCCTGCATTTCCACTCTGAAGAAATAGCTTTCCACTCATGGTGTTGGAGACAAAAAGGGCAGATTTTGGAAGAGTATCAGGCATAGAGTTTGAACCTGATTTTTAAAAGTTAATGTATGGGCTGGGCATGGTGGCACACGCCTTTAACCCCAGCACTTGGGAGGCAGAGGCAAGCAGATCTCTGAGAGATGGATGCCAGTCTGGTCCACATAGTGAGTTCTAGGTCAGGTGGGGCTACAGGGAGACCCTGTCTCAAAAAGACAAAAAGTATACTACGGATTTCCTAATGCAGAAATACTGCCCCCCCACCCACCAAAAAAATTAAACTTTGTGTCATAACAGTTTGGGTAGAGTTCTTTGATTTTTTTTTTTCCATATGTATACTACAGTACCTATGGTAGAGTTCTAAGGCTCTGTTCCACTATAAAACATAGCCCTAATGTGTTAACCTTTCATTGCTATGACAAAAAAAAACTGACACAAACAACGTAAGGGAGAAACATTTATTTTGGCGAGTCTGAAACATCCTTAGGAGCATGTGGCAAAACAGAACTGCTCACCATATGGCAGCCAGGAAGTAGAGACTGAGCTATACTGACCCTTCAAGGGCACCAATAGTGACTTCCCTCAAATAGGTCCCAGGCAGTTCACCAGTTTACCAGAGGATTCATCCGTTGATGAAATTAGAACCCTCATGATCTAATCACTTCTCAAAAGCCCATCCACTAGCAACCAAGCCTGTAACCCCTGAGACTTTTGAGGAAGAGTCTTCATAGTCAACCATCAGGCCTGTTGAACAAGCTAGATTACAGAAAACTCAGGACCAGTTACATGTTTTACCTATGGTAATAATGACAAATTTCAGTGCAAATCCTGTCTGGAGTATGGGTGTTTAACATCGTGTACTGTCTGAATGTTTGACTTTGAGAAGGAACATTGATTATCTCAACAGAGCAGGATCCAAGAAACAAAACAAAACTCCCTTAATTGTCATAAAGAGTGGCAGGGGTACTGTTGTTTATGATTGGGGTATTAGAACAGGGCCAGTTCCATCTAGTTTTTGGGGGTTTTGTTTTTTGGAGGGGATGGATTTTCAGTTTCATTTAAAAAAATCCCTTTTGAATTTGTCCAGTGGACAAAGGATATTTGGATTGTATTTTGGACTCTGAACCTATAGGAAACCAGATGGCATTAAAAACTATAATGACAGCATCTTGTGTGTCCTTAGTCGGATGACTGCCAAGTTAGTAAATGGTAATGTGAAATTTTATAATTAATTTAAAATATTTGGAAATGATATAGAAGAAAACTTAAATTATGACTTGCAGCCATTTTAAAGATTTTGGTATATTTCGCTCTTTAGAGTTTTCATTATACATACAATTTTATTCATCCTCTTA